ATAAGTATAAGCAACATTTTATAATTATATACACATAAAACAATCAATATCCAGCCATAAAAACGACTTATGAGACACTATAAAACTTAAAATTCTATAAAAATTTCAAATGTATCACGTAAAAACATACAAGTCACAAAAAATGACCATTAAAAATTACTAATCAGTATATTCAAATTATTATACATACATTTAAAATTGTCTAATTCTTACTTTTTTTGATAGAATTAAACTAATAAAAATCTCAGGCTTATAAAAGTTTCATAAACAGCTGTAAAACAATTTTCTACGCCAGAAAAATTCATATAAAAATTTGCATAGGAAATATTGTATATCATAACAGTTCATAATTTCAATAAATTTATTATCTATATCAAGGCTGTGAAAATCTTGAATTAATTTTGACCATTCATGAAAAAGGTTATATCGAATATCGTCATAAAGCGTGCATTCCTGAAGTCTAGACTGACGGAAGCCATGCTGGAGGTCATACAGTATATTGTTCTTTTCAAGATGGTTGATGATGTGTTTGGTGATGATATGCTCCATAAGTTTACAGGAATTACATGTCAATGATATTGTTAAAAATAGAAATAATGTTGATAAAATAATTATATACTCACATTGAGGAATATTTCACTAGCCTCTTGCACTAATGATATGTCCCGATTAAAAAAAAAAAAAAAAAAAAAAAAACATATAGTAGACGTGAATACACAAAAAATGTTAACATAATTATCTCCTATTTTATGGAAATTAACATAGTGTTTTATATTTTGGAGACATATGTCTATGTAAAGAAAGTGAACTAACCCATAAATTTGTTTCATGTACTATAAAAAACACTTTATTATGTTGAATATTTCATTAGTTATAAAATCACAATTACTCATGTTAAACAATATCTTGATTATGATTTTTTAATCTACAAGATTATATTTATAAAAGAGTTATGCTTACATCTTTGTGTATATTTAAACACAGCATATAGTTGGTGGTCTAGTAATGACATTGTCACTACATGTAGCGCCACTACATGAAGCACCACTTCTGCTTGTGCTAACATGATAATATTCTTCTATCTCCATCTCCTCACTTGATGTTAAATCTATATCTTGGTTCTACAAAGAGAAAAAAAAAATAAACAGTTAAACCCGCTGCATTTGTTTGCACCTGTCCTTAGTCAGGAATCTGATGTTCAGTAGTTGTCGTTTGTTGATGTGGTTCATAAGTGTTTCTCGTTTCTCGTTTTTTATATAGATTAGACCGTTGGTTTTCCCGTTTGAATGGTTTTACACTAGTAATTTTTTGGGGCCCTTTATAGCTTACTGTTAGGTGTGAGCCAAGGCTCCGTGTTGAAGACCGTACTGTGACCTATAATGGTTTACTTTTATAAATTTTGACTTGGATGGAGAGTTGTCTCATTGGCACTCATACCACATCTTCTTATATCTAGTTAAAAGAAATGTTAGTGTTTGTTAACAAATATTTTCATTTTTATTTAATTAGGAATAAGCAGTACACTTGGAGTGAAAGAGTTGGAAGAAGAAAAAGAAGGAAACACCACTCGCATCAATGGAATATTTTGTAAGTCTTAATTTTAAAGTTTTGAACTAAAATAAAATAAGAAAATCATCAAATTTACTTCTCAATAAAGTTTATGTAAGAGGGGAAAAGAAAGAAAAAAAAATATATCCTTTTTTGTAAAAAAAACCATAATTTTATCAATACTCAGTTAATTGATAAAAGCATTTTTTGGAATGAAAACTATGTACATAGGCTAATAATTTAATTTTGGATGTACCGGGTCTTCTGATTGGCTGGCGTTGTTTTGTTTATCAGCTCATAGACATAATTTTGTCATGTGACCGTGACGTCATCAACGTTTTTTCATGGTTTACTCCGGTTTAAAATGGAATTTAGAATTAAATTATAAGAAATGACTGTAATATTTTTTCTGTCTATTCGAAATAACATAAAAAATGTGGTGCACACGTTAAAATAACCCGCTACGCAGGTTATTCAGTGTGCACCACATTTTTGATGTTATTTCTTCATAGACAGAAAAAATATTACAGTCATTCCTTAAATAATAATTCTAATGCAATTACTTTGTATCAATGGTTCTGATTGGATGACAGTAAGCGTAAAATTCTCCTTGTCTGTAACTAAGGCAGCCGACATTTTGAATTGCGGAATTTATTGACATGCAATTTTTACAATAATAAGCAAAAAAACTCACATGTTGCACCTAGAAATCTTCTTTTTATCAAATTTAATTACATTCTGAAGCGGCCAAGGAGCCAGAAAACGCCCGGTGTTTACGTTTGACGCCGGAAGCATACCTATGACGTCACCTAGTTTAGGGGCCAAAGAAGAAAACGGAATTTTCTTTAATGAGAATTTTACACTGAAATAATGATTGAAATTGAATTATGTACTTGTTTTGCATTAGAATAGAGATAACTGTATTGTATTTGACGTCCATCGGTAGTTTTACTGTCGCAAATACCCGTTTACCTGTCTCCGCTACGCGTCGCCAGGTAAACTAAATTTGCGACAGTAAAACTACCGATGGACTTCCGCAAAGCTTCAAATACAATACAGTTATCTCTTAATTCTAATGCAATTATGTTGTATCAATGTTTCTGATTGGATGACAGTAAGCGTAAAATTCTCTATCTCCCTGTCTGTAACTAAGGAAGCCGACATTTTGAATGCCGGAATGTATTGACATGTAATGTCTCCAATAATAAGCAAACAACTCACATTTTGCACTTAGAAATCTTCTTTTTATGAAATTTTATTACATTCTGAAGCGGACAAGAAACCAGAAAACGCCCGGTATTTACGTTTGATGCCGGAGGCATACCTATGACGTCACCTAGTTATGGCGCCAAAGAAGATAACATCATTTAGCGGTATTTTGGTTTGATGAAAATTTTACACTGAAATCATGACTAAAACTGAATGATTTGTTTATTTTGCATTAGAATAGAGATAACTGTATTGTATTTAAAGATTTGCGGACGTCCATCGGTAGTTTTACTGTCGCAAATATCCGTTTACGTGTCTCCGCTACGCGTCGCCAGGTAAACTAAATTTGCGACAGTAAAACTACCGATGGACGTGCGCAAAGCTTCGAATACAATACAGTTATCTCTAAAGTTAAATGAATTTGTGGAGAACAGCTGGTGTGAGCTGTTCTCTGAAAGTGTCAACTGTAGTGACAGCGACTGTATGGATTGGCAATAAATGCCACTGAGTTATGGTATATGGAAAAAATGAAAATTTATATGTATCTTATTGGATTGAAATGTGTCTGAAAGTGAAATTATGATTTTTGCGGGTTCTACTGTCTGATGGTATGAGAATAGCAGATGGGATTGCTACGATTTGATGTACTATTTTGTAGAACATTATCAATCTTGTGCGTAGTCTTCTTTCTTGTAGTGTGGGCCAGTTTAATGAGTTTATCATGTCTGTCGGACTACTGATGTTATGGTAACTGTTACAGACATATCTGGCAGCTCGCCTTTGGACCATATTGATTTTAGAGGTTTGTTCAACTGTGTGAGGGTCCCATACTGAACATGAATATTCCAGTTTTGGTCGGACTAGTGCCAGATATGCCTGAGTTTTGATGTTTTGACATGATGTTTTTAAATTTCTTTTTAAGAAACCCAAATATTTGTTGCCATTAGCTATGATGTTGTCTGTATGTTTTGACCATTTTAAGTTTGCTTGTAGTGTAATGCCCAGATATTTAGCTGAAGAGACCAGGTCAAGTTTGTGATTGTGGAGGATATAGTCATGTTTAAACGGTTTTTTCTTTTGTGATACTGTAAGGACTGTGCATTTGTCTGGATGGAAAGCCATCAACAGTCTTGCTCCCACCTCGCAGCTGCATCTAAATCTAACTGTAGTGCATCACAGTCACTTTGAGATTTGATGGTTTTGTAGATGATACTGTCATCGGCAAACAGTCTGAGCTTACTGGATAATAGGTATTCTGGTATGTCATTAAAATATATACCAAAAATAATACTGTGCCTAGGACTGTGCCTTGAGGGACACCTGAGGTGACTGAAGCCAGGTCAGATGACTCTCCATCCAGGACAACTGTTTGTGTTCTGTCATTTAAGAAGGCAGAGACCCAGTTTAAAGTTTCATTTTGGATACCGTAATAGTTTAATTTGTAAAGTAATCTTTTATGAGGGACTTTGTCAAAGGCTTTGGCAAAGTCCATTATAATTAAGTCTGTTTGAGTGTTGTTGTTATTACTTGCTGCGAGCTCTTTGATGAATGAAATGAGTTGTGTTTCACAAGATCTAGAAAGTAAGTAAGTAAATAGTTTATTAAAGTGTCACATATTGATTGACATAAATATAAGCAACATTTTATAATTATATACACATAAAACAATCAATATTCAGCCATAAAAACGACTTATGAGACACTATAAAACTTAAAATTCTATAAAAATTTCAAATATATCACGTAAAAACATACAAGTCACAAAAATTGACCATTAAAAATTACTAATCAATATATTCAAATTATTATATATACATTTAAAATTGTCTAATTCTTACTTTTTCTGATAAAATTAAACTAATAAAAATCTCAGGCTTATAAAAGTTTCATAAACAGCTGTAAACCAATTTTGTATGCCAGATAAATTTATATAAAAATTTGCATAGGAAATATTGTATATCATAACAGTTCATAATTTCAATAAATTTAATAAATCAAGGCTGTGAAAATCTTGAATAAATTTGAACATTCATGAAAAAGGTTATATCGAATATCGTCATAAAGCGTGCATTCCTGAAGTCTAGACTGACGGAAGCCATGCTGGAGGTCATACAGTATAATGTTCTTTACAAGATGATTGATGATGTGTTTGGTGATGATATGCTCCATAAGTTTACAGGAAATACATGTCAATGATATTATTAAAAATAGAAATAATATTGATAAAATAATTATATACTCACATTGAGGAATATTTCACTAGCCTCTTGCACTAATGATATGTCCTGATTAAAAAAAAAAAAAAAAAAAAAAAAAAAAAAACAATTGTTCACGTGAATACACAGAAAATGTTAACATAATTATCTCCTATTTTATGGAAATTAACATAGTGTTTTATATTTTGGAGACATATGTCTATGTAAAGAAAGTGAACTAACCCATAAATTTGTTTCATGTACTATAAAAAAAAAGTTTATTATGTTGAATATTTCATTAGTTATAAAATCACAATTACTCATGTTAAACAATATTTTGATTATGATTTTTTTAATCTAAAAGATTATATTTATAAAAGAGTTATGCTTACATCTTTGTGTCTATTTCAACACAGCATATGGTTGGTGGTCTAGTAATGACATTACCACTACATGTAGCACCACTACATGAAGCACCACTACTGCTTGTGCTAACATGATAATATTCTTCTATCTCCATCTCCTCACTTGATGTTAAATCTTTAACTTGGTTCTACAAAGAGAAAAAAAAATAAACAGTTAAGACAAAATAATTGTTAACAACTCATTGTTATGACTAACCACTTTTTTAGGACACAACCATTGAAACAGGCAACTTGAAAAAAGAAGAAGTAACAGCTACAGAAAAAATATCACTAGGTAAGATAAGTGTTTATAATATATATTTATTTATTATTTTTCCCCCCATATATCTAATATTTAAGACAAGACGATAAAGAAAATATACCTGTAGGTCATAACCATACTTGTAACATGTAAAGCAACATTTAAGAGTAAAAGAAATGTTAGTATTTGTTGAGTTTATTTTTTAATATTTGTTTGAACTTCCTAGAAATAATTAAGTGTCTTCCGGTGGTTAAAAAGTAGATATTCTGTAGGTATCCTATCAAATCTTCTCTAAAAATTGGGTTTATTGGTAGCAGATAGAGCACACCAATAACACAAACTGGCAAAATGTCTGGAATGAAAAATCAAATGGAAAAAAATATAATTATGCTAAAAAGGAGATTACTTTTGTTTTTCTTTCATTTAATAAGAAAAACATTAAATTTACTTCTCAATAAAGTTTATGTAAGTGGGGAAAAAGAAAGAAAAAAATATATCCTTTTTGTAAAAAAAAATAATATTATCAATTCTCAGTTAATTTATGATAAAAGCATTTTTTGGAATGAAGGATATATTTTTGTTCTTTCTTTTCCCCCACTTACATAAACTTTATTGAGAAGTAAATTTAATGATTTTCTTATTTTATTTTAATTCAAAACTTTAAAATTAAAACTTACAAAATATTCCATTGAAGCGAGTGGTGTTTCCTTCTTTTTCTTCTTCCAACTCTTTCACTCCAAGTGTAGTGCTTATTCCTAATTAAATAAAAATGAAAATATTTGTTAACAAACACTAACATTTATTTTACTCTTAAATGTTGCTTTACATGTTAGAAGTGTGGTTATGACCTACAGGTATATTTTCTTTATCGTCTTTACTTAAATATTAGATATATGGGGGAAAAAATAAATCAATAAATATTATATACACTTATCTTACCTAGTGATATTTTTTCTGTGGCTGTTACTTCTTCATGTTCTTCTTCTTTCAAGTTGCCTGTTTCAATGGTTGTGTCCTAAAAAAGTGGTTAGTCATAACAATGAGTTGTAAACAATTATTTTGTCTTAACTGTTTATTTTTTTTTCTCTTTGTAGAACCAAGTTATAGATTTAACATCAAGTGAGGAGATGGAGATCTAAGAATATTATCATGTTAGCACAAGCAGTAGTGGTGCTTCATGTAGTGGTGCTACATGTAGTGGTAATGTCATTACTAGACCACCAACCATATGCTGTGTTGAAAATACACACAAAGATGTAAGCATAACTCTTTTATAAATATAATCTTTTAGATTAAAAAAATCATAATCAAAAGATATTGTTTAACATGAGTAATTGTGATTTTATAACTAATGAAATATTCAACATAATAAAGTTTTTTTTTATAGTACATGAAACAAATTTATGGGTTAGTTCACTTTCTTTACATAGACATATGTCTCTAAAATATAAAACACTATGTTAATTTCCATAAAATAGTAGATAATTATGTTAACATTTTCTGTGTATTCACGTGTACTATATGTTTTTGTTTTGTTTATTTTTTAATCAGGACATATCATTAGTGCAAGAGGCTTGAGTGAGTTTATAATTATTTTATCAACATTATTTCTATATTAACAATATTGGAAATCAAATTTATATCACGTGATTAATTTCCTTATATGGTCACATAATTAACACTTCCTTATAAGGTATGCAAATAATATCGCATGCTATCTTCTCACTAAAGTATGTTACATCGTCACCTCGGCAATTCATCACATCTTCACTTATATAGCATTCTGCTTTTAACACTTTCCACACGGGTTATTGACAAGAAACAACACACGACAACAAACAAAAACATGGCGATCATCTTCAATTTCTATAATTAGTGTGTGAACAGGTTACGTCACACTACGTCACGAGGGTGAATAAAGGAAAGCTTTTATTGTCTTCACCTGATTAAAAGAACGATTTTTGAAAAAGAATTTGTTTGTTTTTATACCAAATGATTAATCGTTATTTATTACTAAAAATAATGAATACTTAATTACAATTGTATATATGTTTTAGGAGCCGATGGAAGTGGACGCAGATAGATTAATAAACCATAACGATACAGTTGGTATTGACGACCAAAAACATTTATTTTAAGAAAAGAAACAAGAAGAGAAGGGGAGGAAGAAGAAGCAGATGAATACATCCAACAGAATAAAAAGACAAAAAAAAATAAAAACATCTTTTAAATAAATGTTTAACAAATAAAATGTGTTATTATTTTGTGTTTAAAGAAACTATATATTGATGAGACAACAAGGTGTTTTATTTTTAAACAAACTAATCGAGAAAAGAAAGAAAATAATATCAAGAATTTACTAAGAAAAAGAGAAATTTTTTTTATTTTAACTATCCTTATCTCGACTAGTTTGTAAGAAAATAGTTTCCGTTACAATTCATTCCATTTAATCAAACAAAGGATCCGCTAATCTAGTCCGAATACAAATGGATTTGAATTATCTGCAAAAAATTGGTCAATTATTAAAAGTGATTCCTCTAATCTAGAATATCAATTAAGAGTCGTTTCTCTAATCCGAAAACAAATAGATTATAATTATCTGCAAACAATCAGTCAATTATTAAAAGTGATTCCTCTAATCTGGAATATCAATTAAGACTCAATCCTTTAATCCGAAAACAAATGGATTATAATTTTCAATTGTTTACTCTAATCAGGATTAAAAGGGGGGTACAAAACATTGAGGATCAATAATCTAGATTAAAAGATAAGGATTAACCTTTAATCAGATTAATTACATAATAATGTGCTTAAAGTTGCACTATAGGCTGGATTAAGAAGATTAGAGTGCTTAAAGTTGTACCATAAGCTGGATTAGGAAGATTAGAGGAAATCCTCATTATCTTCAATGGAAATGAGGATATTGAGGATAGTTAAAATCTCTATACTCATTACTCAGAGTGACCAGACTTTGGTATATGGTATACCCCCAACTCACGTTGCAACTGCATACAATCTTTGGTTTTACAGAACGAAATTTATTCACAGGACACGAAGCGGGACGGACAGCCGGACAGACGCTCAGACAGACAGACGGACATGGTGATTCCTACATATCCCCAAACTTTGTTTGCGGGGAGTATAATAAGTAAGGTGGATTAAGATTGGGCAATATGAAGGTTGGTAAAATGGAAAGAATGATAGCTACTATTTCATACTATTTCATGCATCTTACTTGTCAGATTTTAGAGTTTTTAAGATAATCATCTTTGCTACCAAGGGTTACGACTGGATTGCAACCCTTGACTAGCGGAGATGAGGATAATAAGCAAAACTCTAACAAATGGTAAAAAACGCCATCAATGAGAATTGACGATTTTGCCATAAACTTGGGTTATTTGTAGATCTTGTCTTTCTGATCATTTTTTGTTTTTAAAGTGTCTATCTATCTTTAATAGTTTTCAAGATAATAGGCAAAACACTAAAAATTGGTAAAAATCGTCATTTAAGAGAATTGACTATTTCGGTCACAAGACTTGTGTTTTTCTATCTATCAAAGTTATGGTATCAATTGTAACAGCTTTCAGTCAAAATCTGAGAGCAGTTACAATTGAAACCTACTAGAATTTAAAATAAAGGGAATCAGGAATAAACTTGTTTATGATTTAGCATACTTAAATACCATTTAAAACTTCTTACATTGTATTCAGTGCTAAGCATTCATTTATATTCATCAAAATGTATGAAGGACAATTTTAATACTTTTCTGTTTCTGTAAAAGTATTATATATTTAAGCAAATTATGCAATTTAATGTAAATCGCTGCAAACGAATCTAACTCATTATTTCTTGAAGTGCAATGGATGTGAAAACACACAACACGGTATAGCATGCTTTCGTGAAGCTTGATTCCAAATTCAAAAAGCCCCGATGTGTGGTTCTTGAGAAAACATACATGGCCGTTATGTGCTAGAATGTTTAAGTGTTCGGTAAATAAGAAAATTAGGCAAAACACTAAAAATTGGTAAAAATCTTCATTTAAGATAATTGACGATTTCGGCTATAGACTTATTTGTGGATCTTGTCTTGCTGATCATTTTTGCAATTTAAAGTTTCTTTCTATTTATTAAAGTTTTCAAGTTATATGCAAAAACAAGAAGGAAAATATCACAAGCCTCCTGAAATTTGTTGTCAAGCTTCATGTGAGCATGTTTTATTGTGTGATGAATTTTCTTATTTACCGGTAACTGGTAATATTTTACAAATTATAAATAATTTTAGTGTTCTATTGATCGGCTGAGTATTAAAAAAAACTATTATAACACCACGTGTAAATATAAGAAAATTCGCTAGTAGTTGTCTTTGTTTGTATATTAGTTGTTTTTCTGCACTTTAAAGACTTTGAAGTTATTGGTAGACCTTTGCTATTCTTATTGAAAACGTTGTCTAGACCTGGAGCTATAAAGAGCATTTCGTATGAAATAGACACTTTGGTATTGCAAAAACCGTGTGTGGTCATGAGATTTCTGTTTTTTAATGTGTCTATGGCATACTGTTTTATTGAAGAATATCCAAAAGGACAAGGTACGATAAGCTACCTATTTTTGTTGAAATTAAAATTAATATAATCCAAAAAGCATGACACTTTTTTGAAAGTATAGTATCTCATCTTACAAAAAATCAAGGTAATTTTCTTCTTTCAGCGATTTAAAATGATTAAATGCTTCGCTCTATTTCCCGAAAAAAAACCCCAGAATTTTCATTAGGATTTTTTGTGTCTGCATGTTCAAGCAATATTTAACTATGAGCGGACGCAAGTACCACTACGATATTTGTATGTGTTGTTGGTTGGAAGCAAAAGTTTTACTGATTGCACTATAATCGTGGTACTTGCGTCC